TAGGACGGTGGAGTGCGGTGTAGTGCTGTGCAGTGCGGTGCAGGGCGGTGCAGTGCGGTGCAGTGCGATGCAGTGCGGTGCAGTGCGGTCCAATGCGGCGCAGTGCGGTGCAGTGCGGTCCAGTGCGGTGCAGTGCGATGCAGTGCGGTGCAGTGCGGTCCAGTGAGGTGCAATGCGGTGCAAGGCGGGGCAGGGAAGTGCAGGAGGGTGCAAAGCGGTGCGGGGAACGGGGGACAGTACCAGGAAGTATGTAGGGCCGGGGCAGGCGCGACGGGACCGGGCAGGCGCGACGGGGCCGGGCAGGCGCGACGGGGCCGGGCAGGCGCGACGGGGCCGGGCAGGCGCGACGAGGGGCCAGGCAGACGCGACGGGGCCGGGCGGCTGCGACGGGGCCGGGCGGCTGCGACGGGGCCGGGCGGCTGCGACGGGGCCGGGCGGCAGCGACGAGGCCGGGCGGCTGCGACGAGGCCGGGCGGCTGCGACGGGGCCGGGCGGGCGTGACGGGGCCGGGCGGGTGCGACAGGGGCCGGGCGGCTGCGACAGGGGCCGGGCAGGCGCCACGGGGCCGAGCGGCTGCGACGGGGCCGAGCTGGGGCGACGGGGCCGAGCAGGTGTGACGGGGCCCAGGAGGGGCGCGACGGGGCCCAGGAGGGGCACTACAGGGCCCTGGAGGGGCGCGACGGGGCCCAGGAGGGGCGCTACGGGGCCCAGGGAGGAGCGCGGCAGGGCCCAGGAGGGGCGCGACGGGGGGCCCAGGAGGGGCGCGACGGGGGGCCCAGGGAGGGGCGCGACGGGGGCCCAGGGAGGGGCGCGACGGGGGCCTGGGAGGGGCGCGACTAAGCCCAGGAGGGGCGCTACGAAGCCCTGGAAGGGGCGCGACGGGGCCTGGAGGGGCGCTACGAAGCCCTGGAAGGGGCACGACGGGGCCTGGGAGGAGCGCGACGGGGCCTGGGAGGAGCGCGACGGGGCCTGAGAGGAGCACGACAGGGCCCAGGAGGGGCGCTAAGGGGCCCAGGAGGGGCGCGACGGGGCCCTGGAGGGGCGCTACAGAGCCCAGGAGGGGCGCGACGGGGGCCTGGAGGGGCGCTACGAAGCCCTGGAAGGGGGCGCGACGGGGCCTGGAGGGGCGCTACGACGACCTGGAAGGGGCGCGACGAGGCCTGAGAGGAGCACAAGGGGCTAGGGGGGGGGAGTCGCGACTGGGCTCAGGAGGGGCGAGGCTAGGCTAGGAGACGCGACGGGAGGAGCGGAAGCGGTAGGTGGGGGGGGGGGGGGGGGGGGTCGAAACCTACGCGTGATACCATCTCAAAACTAGAATTGAATAATGATAGAGTTAGAGAGTACATGCACATATACCTAAATGTTGTACCCTCTAGGAGGTTACCCTATACAGTCTATACAAACATGATCAATAAACATGTTTGACAAGTTTATGTCTAGAGAAAAACTTGGAGATCCTTTTACTATAACAACGAATTCATACAAAGTAGGATCAGAATCAGAAATGCGAAATCCATTGCAAATCCCCTTGCCCGGTCTAATATGTCAAGATCAGAAACGAAGGCAAACACCCTAGCGTCACACAAGGACGTCTGATTGGCCACCCCTACAAACACATTCGGGACAGCACCCAATGAGCGCCAAACAAGCGCCGCGTGGCTAAGCGCGCCGACGCGCGACGTGCAGCGAAGCGGAACATAAAAGAAATTCAAGAACATCATATATGGCACGTGATAGGCACGTAAACGAATTCCGTTTATGCTTCTGCTGGCTCCAAAATTCCATTCAACTCGGTAAGTGGATTCCCTTGTTCGTGATTGGAGCGCATGTTTTCCACCAGTCTGGTTCGGCGCGGCGAGGAGTTTGCAACTGAACCTGTAAACTTGCATGGTCAATTCTGTGCCCAAGATTGCCAAACGCCCAAGATCGCCCAACGACCAAGATCGCCCAATGCCCTAGATCGCCCAATCCCCCCTAGATCGCCCAACACCCAAGATCGCCCAACGACCAAAAATCGCACAACCCCCAAGATCCACCAACCCCAAAGATCGCCCAACCACCAAGATCGTCCAACCACCAAGATTGCCCAACCCCCAAGGTCCCCAAACCCCCGAGATCGCCCAACAACCAAATTTCCCCAACACCCAAGATCGCCCTACACCCAAGATCGGTCAACGCCCAAGATCGCCCAAAGCCCAAGGTCGCCCAACGACCAAGGTCGCCCAACTATCAAGATCGCCCAACGACAAAGATCGCCCAACGACCAAGTCCGCCCAGCCCCCAAGTCCAGCCCCCACGTTCACCTAGCCCCGAAGATCGCCCAACCCCCAAGATTGCCCAGCCCCCAAGATTGCCCAGCGGCCAGGATCGCCCAACCCCCAAGATCGCCCAACCACCATGACCGCCCAACCACCAAGACCGCCCAACCCCCAAGACCGCCCAACCCCCAAGACCGCCCAACCCCCAAGACCGCCCAACCCCCAAGATCGCCCAATCCCCAAGATCGCCAAACCCCCAAGTTCGCCCAACCCCCAAGATCGCCCTACCCCCAAGATCGCCCTACCCCGAAGATCGCCCAGCGACCAAGATCGCCGAGCGATCAAGACTGCCCAACCCCCAAAACTGCCCAGCCCCCAAGACCGCCCAGCCCCCGATGTGAGAGTACGACCCCGTTACATCACTTGGCCTTTTCTTATTTCCTTCCTTTTTCATTTCTCTTTTATTCCATCTCATCTGGTTTCCTATTCTTCCTTTTCCATTAACCTTTGGTTTATCCTGCTATTATCATTATATCACCGACCTGGCTTGGGATGTACCGGTGCGCTCTATCTAGCGTAATCCTGCTGTAATCCCTTAAAACCAATAGCCTCGCGTGGCTATACGCAGGGTGATTCTATCTTCTAGAAGGGTCTATTCCCCTAGGATAAGATAAACCGGGTTACCTGATGTACTCTGGAAGTATAAAAGCGCCCTGTACTGATCGATAGTGCAATCTTTCCTCGACACATTCGATCCTGTGACACTTGGTAATCAGAGCTTTTCTCACTCGGCCGCGCTCAACAAAGCAGCAGCAGCGGGAAAACCTGCCTCGAAAAACCGCCGGGGGCGACCAATTCGACGCCGATTCTGGTAAGCACCAGCTCCGCGATTTTCGAATTACCCCCTCCGTGCGTGTTTTGAACAGGATGGCAACCTTCGACAACACCGAGGTTACCCAGCAGCTCTTCGCGCGCATCGCCGCCCTTCAGGAGGAAATGCGAGCAGATCGCGAAGCATGGCGAAACGAGTTCGAGCGAGTAACTCGACTCGCCGGAGCGCAGCACGAAACGACAACGGCGACGACGCAGCAGTCGCAGCAGTTTCTCGAGGCTCCGAAACCGCGCCCACCAGAGCCGTTCGATCCGAGCGATCGAAACTCCGACGCCCGCAGATGGATCGCCGGGATGGAGATCTACTTCGCAGCCGTCGGATGGAGCTCGCCAGTCTGGGACGGTCAACGTGTACGACTCGCGGCGACACTGATGCGAGGGCCGGCACTCGAGTGGATTGGCGGCAACAGTACCTTCATCCACGGTGAAGCCACGTGGCAGCAGTTCCGCGCTGACCTACTGAAACGCTTCGAACCGATAAATTCCAGTTTCCTTGCCCGGGAAAAAATTCATCGACACCGACAGTTCGGGAGTGTAGCGCAGTACACGCAGCAGATGGAGGAATTTTATAACCGCATTCCCGACCTGACCGAAGGGGAAAAAGTACAATCGTACCTCGCCGGGCTGAAGACCGAAGTCAAACGACAAGTCGCAGCGTCAAACTACGCGAGCTATAGTGACGTCGTTTCAGCAGCGGAGCGCTTCGACATGGTCAACGCCGGAACACGACGGACGCACGTCGGCAGTACGCGACAGGGCGACCGCTCGGCTCACCCCACGTTCGCCGACCCGATGGAAGTCGACAGATTCGAGGGGCGGCCACGTCCGAAAAACACCAATTACACGTGTGATTTTTGCGGGGTGCCGGGTCATCGAATCTTCGACTCCAACAAAATGAAAGCCGCACGCGTAGAGTATCGGGCACGCAACAGTGGCGGAATTCCTTCAGCCAATCAGAAGCCAAAAAACGGGAGTCGCCAGTAATTGCGGATCTAGCTGGCGAAAATAAAAGATCCGAAAGCGGCCGCGGGATTCCGGGAGAATCAACTTCGACGAAGCTGATACGACGCGAGAAGGAGGAAATGATGGGGGAAAATCTCCACCCCACGACCTGTCTTCGCCAGGGAAAATCGTCGAGGAAAAAAACGACTCCGCGAAAAAAGACTCTGCCGAGACAGGGAAACTCCTTGAAGACCCAAGAAATTATAAGAATTCGTTAAAGTTATCTTATAAAGATGCTTTAATGAAAACCTATGATTTTCGAGGAGCTAGAGCCTTGGAGAAATTTCGGGAGGGACTCCAAAAGAAGCAGACAGCTATGGAGATTATACCGGTACCGGACAACTTGGGGAAAAAATTACGGAGTGTGGAAAGAAGCCGACCTTTCCACGGAGTCAACGTCCTCTCCCGACACCAGCCCACAACGACTACCCGTTCCCCAGGGAAGACGTCGGTGGAGCTGAAGCAGCTCAAGAGGAAGCTGGGGGTCTATAAGAAGCTGCACAAACCCCAAAAACCTCCTCCGGATGCATCCAGTTCTTCGGCATCAATGACGCGCACAGTCGTCAAGGAAACTCCGGGCCCTGGAGAAGAGCTGTTCTCCAAGCAGCCTCGGCCAGCTGCCAGCTCAGGAGTAGATAGCAACACAAAGGTGTGTACGGAATATTGGGATGTACCCTATGACCCAATCAATGAAACTATCTTTGGGTACTCCGAGCAATGACTGCCCCTCGTGCTCGAGGTCATCTGCAAAGGACGACGCCTCCAAGCACTCGTGGACAGCGGAGCATCACACACCGTCTGCGACAAGGCAGTAATCGACCGACTTCGGGAAGAGTACAAGCCTTCAGGATTCTCTGCAACGATGGTGGATGGTAGCAAGTTACCAGTACACGGCAAAGCAGTGCTACACCTACAAATTGGACCACTGCGCTGGAGACCTGCACTTCCCATCACCAACATCAAAGGGCTTGACCTGATCTTCGGGCGAGACTTCCTAAAAAGATTCAACCCCGAGATCAACTGGGTGAACCGCACTGCAAGCATCTACAACAATGGACGGAGAGTACAGCTACCCAACTGGGACGATACAGGAGATATCCCGGTGGAGACACTCGCACGATTCGAGAAGGACGTGAAGCGAACCGACACATGGTTCCTAGCAATAGCAACAGAGGCGGAGAACGACAGGGAGAGAACCTCAGAACCTCCAGGAAAGATCAAGGAATTATTGAAGGAGTTCCAAGATATTCTTCTGGACGATCTTCCGAATGAGCTACTGCCATACCGAACGCATCAACACGAGATCGTGGAGGAACCGGGTTCGAAGCCGACCTTCCGAGCACCATATCGGCTCAGCCCTACGGAGCTGACCGACATGAAAAAACAAATCGAGTATCTCCTAGCCAAAGGACTCATCCGGCCATCCACTTCGCCGTACGGTGCCCCAGTACTCTTCACACCGAAACCGGACGGAAGCCTGCGCATGTGCATCGACTACCGAGCTCTTAACAAGCAGACCATCAAGAATAAATATCCGATACCACGAATCGATGACCTGCTTGACCAGCTTCGGGGAGCTACGGTATTTTCCAAACTAGATCTGCGGTCCGGATACTGGCAGATACGCATGGCGGACAACTCTATCCACAAAACTGCTTTCCGAACTCGGTACGGATCGTACGAGTATTTGGTAATGCCATTCGGACTCACCAACGCACCGGCAACGTTCCAAGCCGAAATGAACCACATTCTACGACCACTTTTGGACGAGTGCGTGGTGGTGTACCTGGACGACATACTCATCTACTCGCGCGACATGAAGCAGCACGTCGAACACCTGCGACGCGTCTTCGAAAGTCTTCGACGAGAACAATTCTACGTCAAACTGTCCAAGAGCGAATTTGCCCTTGAGAAGGTCCAGTTCCTAGGACACATGGTGAGCGCTCAAGGAGTTCACGTCGACCCCAAGAAAATCGAAGCCGTACGCACGTGGAAGACACCCGAGAACGTGAAGGAGTTGCAGCAGTTCCTAGGCTTCGCTAATTACTACAACAGGTTCGTGTCACAGTATGCGAAAATCGCAGCACCACTCACGAATCTGCTGAAGAAGAACACGCCCTACAAATGGGAGCCGAAGCACCAGGAAGCCGTGGAGCAGCTAAAGCAAGCACTTACGTCCGCACCGGTACTCATTTTGCCAGATCCCGAATGCGACTATGTCATCGAAGCTGACGCCAGTGACCAAGCAGTGGGAGCAGTCTTGATGCAAGATCAAGGGAATGGACTGCAACCAATCGCTTACCTAAGTAAGAAACTACACGGGGCAGAACTAAACTACCCGATACACGACAAGGAGGCCCTGGCTATCATCATCGCCTTCAAAGCGTGGAGATGCTATCTCGAAGGACGAAGAACAACCGTCTACACTGACCACTGCAGCTTGAAATACTTGAAGACACAACCCAACCTTTCCAGGCGGCAGGTCCGGTGGATCGACTTCCTCGAGACACACTTCCACTACGACATCGTGTACAAGCACGGTCACAAGAACAAAGCAGACGCTCTCAGCCGGCCTGCACACGTTGCCGCTATTCAGGTCGAAGGGATGAATCCACTACTCAAGGGACTCTTCAAACACGGGTATGCCACCGACCCTGAAATTCCCTTGGCAGAAAAGCGACATCTGCTACAGTGGGACAGTGACATCGCGTACCGGAAAGGATCAACGAAAATCTGGGTACCCAATTACCCTCCTTTGCGCCAGTTACTACTCGAAGAATACCACGAGGTCCTCTACGCCGGGCACTTCGGTAGCAACAAGACGTTGACCGGTATCGCAAAGCACTACTACTGGCCCCACTTAGCAGAAGATGTCCAGAAATTCGTCACCTCGTGTGACACATGTCAGCGGATGAAGAGTACCAAGCAGAAAAAGGCGGGACTACTGCAGCCTCTTCCTGTCCCAGAACAACCATGGCAAGTGATTAGCCTGGACTTCATCAACGGGCTACCACCTACAACCAGCGGTCATGACGCAATCCTCGTCGTCATTGACAAGTTCTCCAAAATGGGACACTTCATCCCGACACACACGACAGCACGCACCGAAGAAACCGCACAACTCTTCGTTCGATACATCATCTCACAGCATGGCATTCCAACCACACTCATCTCCGACCGAGACCCTAAGTTTACCAGCAAGTTCTGGAAGGAACTTATGTCTCTCCTCGGGACCAAACTCGCCATGTCATCTGCTTACCATCCGCAGACAGACGGACAGACCGAGCGCCTCAACCAAATTGTTGAGCAACTCCTCCGAGCAGCCTGCAAGGACGAGGTCTCCAAATGGGACTTGCACCTGCCTGTACTAGAGTTTGCTTACAACAATGCTACACATGCCGCTACTGGACAGACGCCGTTCTTCCTCTGCTACGGACGCCACCCACTCACACCACAGAAACCGACAGCATCAGCTAAAGTCCAACCAGCACATGATTTCATCACAACCATGCATCAGCTTTGGGATCGGACCCACAAGCGCCTACTCGACATTCAACAGCAACAGAAGCGCCAAGCCGATAGTCATCGCAACGATCACACCATCACGGTGGGAGCCCAGGTGCTTCTTGACACCCGCAACCTGGACATCAGCCATCTCCCATCTAAACTTCGACCTCGCTTCTGCGGGCCTTTTCTCGTTGAAGCACAGGTCACTCCTGTTACCTTCCGCTTACGCCTGCCAGCTACCTGGAAGATTCACAACGCCTTCCACGTCCAACTTCTGAAGCCCTATCGGGACCCGAACACGATTTTCGTCGGACGCCAACCGCCGCCGCCACCGCCCGTCCTCGTCCAGAATGAACCCGTGTACGAAGTCGAGTCCGTGCTCGCACACCGCCGTCGTCGGAATGGCACCGTGGAGCTTCTCATCCGTTGGAAGGGTTATGATCCTTCTGAGGACAGCTGGGTACCTGAGTCCGACATGGGTAACGCACGTCGTCCTCTGCATGACTACCTTGTCAAGCAGGGTGTTACTTCTACCACCCAGCTTTGAGGGGGGGAAGTGTGAGAGTACGACCCCGTTACACCACTTGGCCTTTTCTTATTTCCTTCCTTTTTCATTTCTCTTTTATTCCATCTCATCTGGTTTCCTATTCTTCCTTTTCCATTAACCTTTGGTTTATCCTGCTATTATCATTATATCACCGACAAGGCTTGGGATGTACTGGTGCGCTCTATCTAGCGTAATCCTGTTGTAATCCCTTAAAGCCAATAGCCTCGCGTGGCTATATGCAGGGTGATTCTATCTTCTAGAAGGGTCTATTCCCCTAGGATAAGATAAACCGGGTTACCTGATGTACTCTGGAAGTATAAAAGCGCCCTGTACTGATCGATAGTGCAATCTTTCCTCGACACATTCGATCCTGTGACACCCGAGGTTGCCCAGCCCCCGAGGTTGCCCAGCACCAGAGGTCGCCCAACCCCCGAGGTCGCCCAGCCCCCGAGGTCGCCCAGCCCCCGAGGTCGCCCAGCCCACGAGGCCGCCCATCGCCCGAGGTCGCCCAGCGCCCGAGGTCGCCCAGCCGCCGAGGTCGCCCAGCCGCCGAGGTCGCCCAGCGCCCGAGGTCGCCCAGCGCCCGAGGTCGCCCAGCGCCCGAGGTCGCCCAGCGCCTGAGCTCACCCGGCACCCGAGGTCGCCCAGCCCCCGAGGTCTCCGAGTGCCCCAGGTCGCCCAACGCCCGAAATCGCCCAGCGACCGAGATCGGCCATCGCCCGAGATCGCGCAGCGCCCGAGATCGCCCAGCGCCCAAGATCGCCTATCGCCCGAGATCGCGCAGCGCCCGAGATCGCCAAGTGCCCGAGATCGCCTAGCACCTGAGATCGCCTATTGCCAGAGATTGCCCAGCACCCGAGATCACCGCCCAGTGCCCGAGATGGCCCAGCGCCCGAGATCGCCCAGCGCTCGAGATCGCCGAGCCCCCGAGATCGCCGAGCCCCCGAGATTGCCCAGCCCCTGAGATCGCCCAGCCCCCGAGATAGCTTGGCCCCCGAGATAGCTTAGCCCCCGAGATCGCCTAGCCCCCGAGATCGCCCAACCCCCAAGATCGCCCAACCACCACGATCGCCCAACGCCCAAGATCACACAACGCCCAAGATCGCCTAACCCCCAAGATCGCTTAACGTCCAAGATTGCCCAATGCCAAAGTCGCCCAACGACCAAGAAAGCCCAACCCCCAAGATCGACCGAACCCCCAAGATCTCCCTACCCGTGAGATCGCCCAACCCCCAAGATCACCCAACCCCCACGATCGCCCAACGCCCAAGATCGCCCAACGCCTAAGATAGCCAACCCCCAAGATTGCCCAATGACAAAGATCGCCCAACCCCCAAGATCGACCAAACCCCCAAGATCGCCCTACCCGCAAGATGGCCCTATCTCCAAGATCGCCCAACGCCCAAGATCGTTCAACGACCAATATTGCATAGAGACCAAGATCGCCCAACCCCCGAGATTGCTCAACGACCAAGATCGTCCAATGTCCAAGATCGCCCAACGCCCAAGATTGCGCAACCCCCAAGATCCTTAACCCCCAAGATCGCCCAACGCCCAAGTCGCCCAACAACGAAGATCGCCTAACCCCCCATATCACCGAACCCCCAAGATCGTCCTAGCCCCAAGATCGCCCAACCACCTAGATCGCCCAACCACCGAGATCGCCAAACCCCCAAGATCGCCCAGCCCCCAAGATAGCCCAACCCCCAAGATAGCCCTACCCCCAAGATCGCCCAACCCCCAAAATCGCCCAACGACCAAGATCGACCAACGACCAAGATCGACCAACGACCAAGATCGCCCAACAACCAAGATCGCCCTACCCCACGATCGCCCTTTTCCCAAGATCGCCCTACCCCCATGATAGCCCAACGACCAAGATCTCCCAACGACCAAGATCGCCCAACGACCAAGTCCTATAGCCCCCAAGATCGCCCAGCCCTTAAAATCACCCAGCCCCCAAGATCGCCCAGCCCTTAAAATCACCCAGCCCCCAAGATCGCAAAGCGCCCAAGATCGCCCAGCGACTGCCCAGAGACAAAGATCGCCCAACGCCCAAGATCGCCCAACCCCCCAGATTGCTCAACGACCAAGATTGTCCAACGTCCAAGATCGCCCAATGCCCAAGATGGCCCAACCCCCAAGATCGCCTAACGCCCAAGATCGCCCAACAACCAAGATCCCCTAACCCCCAAGATTGCCCAACCCCCATAATTTCCCTACCCCCAAGATCACCCAACCACCCAAATTGCCCAAACCCCAAGATCTCCCAACGACCAAAATTGCCCAACGACCAAGATCGCCCACCGACCAAGATTGCCCAGTCCCCAAGATCGCCCAGCCCCCAAGATAGCCCAGCTCCCAAGATTTCCCAGCGCCTGAGATCGCCCAGCGCCCAAGATCCCCCAGCCTCGAAGATCGCCCAGCCCCCAAGATCACCCAACCCCCAGGATCGCCCAGCCCCCAACCCCCAAGATCGCCCAACCTACCAGATCGCCCAACCCCCAAGATCGCCCAACCTACCAGATCGCCCAACGCCCCCCTGATCGCCCAACCCCCAGCGCCCAGCGCCCAGCGCCCTAGATTGCCCAACCCCCAAGATCGCCCAACCTACCAGATCGCCCAACGCCCCCCTGATCGCCCAACCCCTCAGGTCGCCCAACGCCCAAGATCGCCCAACGCTTAAGTCGCCCGACAACCAAGATCACCTAACCCCCAAGATCGCCCTACACCCAAGATCGCCCTACCCCCAAGATCGCCCAACGCCCCAGATCGCCCAACGACCAAGACCGCCCAACGCCCAAGATCGCCCAACGCCCAAGATCGCCCAGACCCCAAGATCGCCCAGACCCCAAGGTCGCCCAACCCCCAAGGTCGCCCAACCCCCAAGGTCGCCCAACCCCCAAGGTCGCCCAACCACCAAGGTCGCCCAACCACCAAGGTCGCCCAACCACCAAGGTCGCCCAACCCCCAAGATCCCCCAACCCCCAAGATCGCCCAAAGACCAAGATTGCACAATCCCCAAGATAGATCGCCCAACGCCCAAGGTCGCCCAACGACCAAGATCGCCCTGCCCCCACGTTAATCGATCCCCCAAGAACGCCCAACCCCCAAGATCAATCAGATCCTCAGATCACCAGCGCCCAAGATCGCCCAGCGACCAAGATTGCCCAACGACCAAGATCGCCAATGACCAAGATCGCCAAACCCCAAGATAGCCCAACCCCCAAGATCGACCAACCCCCAAGATCGCCCAACGACCAAGATTTCCCAACGACCAAGATCGCCCAACGACCAAGATCGCCCAACGACCAAGATGGCCCAACCCCCCCAGATTTGCCCAACCCCCCCGATCGCACAACCCCCGAGATCGCCCAACCCCCAAGATCAACCAACCCCCTAAGATCGCCCAACGCCCAAGTTCGCCCAGCGCCCTAGATCGCCCAACCCCCAAGGTAGCCCAACCACCAGGATCGCCCAACCCCAAAGATCGCCCAACCCCCAAGACAGCCCAACCCCCAAGATCGCCCAACCCCCAAGATCGCCCAACGACCAGGATCGCCCAACCCCCCAAGATCGCCCAACCACCAACATCGCCCAACGCTCAAGATCGAGCAGCGCACCAGATCGCCCAACCCCCAAGATCGCCCAACCACCAAGATTGCCAAAAGACCAAGATCACCCAACGACCAAGATCGCCCAACCCCAAAGATCGCCCACCCCCCAAGATCGCCCAACCCCCAAGATTGCCCAACCCCCAAGCTCGCCTCGCCCAACCCCCAAGATCGCCCAGCCCCACATATCGCCCAACCCCTCAGATCGTTCGACGCCCAAGATCGCCCGACGCCCAAGTTCCCCCCACGCCCAAGATCGCCCAATGCCCAAAATTTCCCAACGCTTAAGATCCCCCAACGCCCAAGCTTGCCCTACCCCCAAGATAGCCCAATCCTTAAGATCGCTTAACCCCCAAGATTGCCAAACGATCAAGGTCTCCCAAGGACCAAGGTCACCCAACGACCAAGGCCGCCCAACGACAAAGGTCGCCCAACGACCAAAGATCGCCCAACGACCAAGTCCGCCAAGCCCCCAAGTCTAGCCCCAACGTTCAACCAGCCCCCAAGATCGCCCAGCCCACAAGATCGCCCAGCCCCCAAGTTCCCCAGCGCCCAAGATCGCCCAACCCCCAAGATCGTCAAATGCCCAAGATCCCCTAACGCCCAAGATCGCCCTACCACCAAGATCACGCAACCCTTAAGACCGCTTAACCCCAGGATCGACCAACGACCAAGGTCACCCAACGACCAAGTCTGCCCAGCCCCCACGTTCAACCAGCCCCCAAGATCGCCCAGCCCCCAAGATTGCCTCGCCCCCAAGATCCCCAGCGCCCAAGATCGCCCAACGACCAAGATCGCACAACGACCAAGATCGCCCAACGATCTAGATCGCCCAGCCCCCAAGATCGCCCAACCCGCAATATCGCCCAACGCCCAAGATCGCCCAACGCCCAAGATCCCCCAACACCCAAGATCTCCCTACCCCCAAGATCGCCAAACGACCAAGATCGCCCACCGACCAAGGTCGCCCAACGATCAAGGTCCCCCAACGACCAAGGTCGCCCAACGACCAAGATCGCCCAACGACCAAGACCGCCCAACCCCCAAGTCTAGCCCCCACGTTCAACCAGCCCCCAATTTTGCCCAGCCCCCAAGATCGCCCAGCCCCCAAGATCCCCAGCGCCCAAGATCGCCTAACGCCCAAGATCGCCCAATGCCCAAGATCGCCCAATGCCCAAGATCGCCCAATGCCCAAGATCGCCCAACGCCCAAGATCGCCCAACCCCCCAGATCGCCCAACCCCCCCGATTGCCCAACCCCCCAGATCGCCCAACCCCCCTAATCGCCCAACGCCCAAGATCTCCTAACCCCGAAGATCGCACAACGTCCAATTTCGCCCAACGCCCAAGATCTCCCAACACCCAAGATCGCCCAACGTCCAAGATCGCCCAACCCCCAAGATCGCCCAACCCCTAAGATCACCCAACCCCCCGGATCGCCCAACCCCCCTGATCGCCCAATTCCCCTCATCGCCCAACCCCCCAGATCGCCCAAACCCCCAGATCGCCCAACGCCGAAGATCGCCTAGCCCCCAAGATCGCCCAACGCCCAAGATTGCCCAACGCCCAAGATCGCCCAACGCCCAAGATCGCCCAACGACCAAGATCGCCCAGCCCGCAAAATCGTCCAAACCCCTATTATCGCCCAGCCCCCAAGGTCGCCCAACACAAAAGGTCGCCCAATCCCCAAGATCGCCCAAAGATTTGCATAAGATGACGTATATATATAAAAGTGCATATTCTTAAGTAACCTCATTTTTAACATCTTTCCGTAACCTTATGCCGCAACTTCTCACTTTAACCTCTTGTTGTCATGTTTAATTGTTGACTCGGCTGACTATTGTCATCCGCTTGCCTTAGATGGGGCATTGATACGGGACTTCGAACAACTTTTAGCACCTTGCTGAGCCTACTAGATAGTCTTGCCAGTTTCCTATTATGAAGAGGCATCAATGCCACCACATTGTATGCTGGAGATTTTGATCACATTGTTTTCTCTCAAGGAGCAATGTGATTGTGCCCAGCTAGAAGCTGATATCTTTGATCGAGCTGGTGGCAACAATAGAGAACACTATTAACAAGCTTTTGGCGTGCTATAGTAAGCTCGCGTTATGAAGTTTTCCCATCCCGAAGTTTTTCCAATCGATTCAGTTTTGGGCAATTCTGTAGGCAAACTTTGTGGGGAAACTTGGTAGGACCCAATTTTGCCTATCCGACCTCAACCCCCCATGCGATTGTTTGTGCGAGCCCTAGAGACGAAATGCGAACAGGATTCAGTCCCGCCTTATCACAAAGTGAGCTCAAGGTCTGCGCGCCACCGTCAGTGACACAGAGCGAAACCTTACAAACGTACAAACCTAACGAGCAGCCCTGTGAATCCGACAGGTCTGTCCAAAAAAAAAAGAAGAAACACGCGGCAGTTTCGGGTTGGTTTTGACTTCATTTGAGACTTGCCATTTCTGACGACATTGGGAGATTGTGGTCACTGTAGACATGTTTACTTGCCACCGAGGATTCCCACGCTGGGAATGTGGGTCGCATGCCTGGCAAATTTTGATCGCCACCTAGTTCACATGCGGATGTGGACCCTATCGCAGGGTTCGTGGCCAGGTTCATATGGGCAAAGTTTGAATTGCGTGGGCAAACATTGAAATGCGTTTTTAGACATTCCGAGTCACGTGGGCAAACTTCGTCGGATGGGAAAACTTCAGAACGCAATCTAAAAGAAGACACAGGATCATCGACCATTCAAATGCAATATACTTTGTTGGAAAAAACTTTTCAGATAATAATCCAGATAAGATAAGCCATCAACACTACACGACTGAATATCTCACAAGAGTGGGGTTAGGCAGACCACGAGCCATGTCATTTCCAAAAAAGAATGGCTGCCTTGGACGATGCATAGCATAAGCCCCATCCTTCATGGAAAGCAATCATATATACATGTCCCTTCCATGGAGGTGCTATAGAGGAGTTTATCTGCTGAGGTACTTCTGTGAAAGAAGCTGATTCTGTACGCGATAGTGCCTAGCTCCTCATCCATGTTCCCCCTGTTAGAAACCGCCAGCGTGCTGAAGTTCCAGTGCTCTCCGCCAATCCCCTCACCTTTTCCCCTTCCGAAACCCTCTGCTGCGCACCTCAGGAATTCCTTCCTCTCAATTCCTGACCAGCCTCCCCGCATTCCGCTTTTCTTTTCCATGTTCATGCCAGCATCGCCTTGGCCTCCCCTACCATATCCACATTCTAGGGACACTACTTCGTGCAAAGGCTTATTTTGCAGGTAAAATCTAGGCGTAACGCGCTTTCCCCCCTGCGATGGCGTCGTCGACTCCCGTCGCCTCAGAGTCGCCCGTCGCCGACGCGTTCGAGGAGGACGACGTACCGTCGGTGTCGCCCACAGCGGCGATCAAGGCGGCCGTCGTCCGCATTACCGCGGCCGCCACCGGCGGTGCGGTGCTCGGCGGTGCTCTCGGCTTTGGTAAGCCGAATGCGTCAACAGAGATTCACGAGTTCTGTTTTCCACTGCGTTATCGTCGTAGAAAGTGACTCAGGGATGGATTCCTGGCTCATTCTGCGAAGCTTCTAAGAACACTTGCGTCAGGTAGGGTGTCGTCAGGTCCTCAGATGCGCTTCTAATGAGTGCCTCGGAACCAGACGCTTTCCGTCTCCGTCTCCTTTCCCCATCACATCCCGCCGGCTGGTCCAATGTGTGTCACCATTTCGGGGGGATTCTTCTTCATCAACCTCTCAGCATACTACTTTGTCATTCTTGCCGCTCTCGATGGGTGGCGATCACCTTCTTTCCTCGCCATTGTCCTGCTCTTGGTCCGCCTGCTCCTCCGCCATGCAGGGCTGGGCTTCGTCGCTCGCGAGGGTACCAAGGTGGCCATGCGCGAGTCTGCGTTCGGGCTGAAGGTGAGAGTCACGCGAATGATTCATGCTGCTATCCTCTTACCTGGACTTCGGCTCCTTTATTACCTGGTTTGTGGTCTCTAGAGAGGGGTTCTTTCTTAGGGGTGGGACCACCCGAGGCTGACGAGCACTTGGGTGCACTCCTAGACCCTACACGCGTCTTCAAGGACGATTCTCGTGCGTGGACGGCCAGGTGTGATGCTACAGGTGGTTGTGATCCAATCAGCAGGTATGGTGCACGTGTGTGAGCCATTTCATGCAAGGAGGTGGTGATGCTCGCGAACCGACCAGGAAGGCCTACTTGTGAAGTTTTGTCAGTTTCACTAACTGTACGCTTCCCGCTCCTGTGTGTTCAGACGGTGGCCGTCATGTCAGCAGTCTATGCTGCCACGTCAGCAGCCATTGAGAATCTCAGGAACGATCTACTTGACAGTGAGTGATTTGCTGACCGTCATCCTCCGTCCTTGCACGTCCACGCTGATATCTAGCAGCATTTGCCTGCTGTTTACCCTCTGCACTCTTCTGTTCGCTGCCCTTCTGTACACTCTATCTGCAGTCTCCCGTGTTCACTTTTCCCTCCTCCCCTACCCACCACTTCTCCACTTCTCCTCTTCTCGTGTTCACTTCTCCTCTCCTCATGTTCACTCCTGCTCCTCGTCTTCTGACATCCTAACCTCGCACTCTTCTATCCATGCTCCCTGTGTTCCTGGCGGCACTAGGTGCGAAGCCAGGGCTCGCAGGATGTGCAGCTGGACTGGCAGCGAGTGTCCCAGGTGAAATTCCAGCTTGTTCCTGGCGTCTGTTTTAGCATAATTTCCCAAGACGTCTCTGCTCCCCCCCTCTTCCTGTTGCCATCTTTCCGTTTACCTTGCCACCCCACTTCTCCTATCCTCTGTCCTCCTTTTGGAGCAATTTTCCGCTCCTCGTCTCTCCTTTCCGCTCTCCTCCTTTGGGTAACTCTTGCAACTCCGCGTCTCGTCTGCTGCAGGTCCACCAATGGCAATGTTGCAAGGCTGCGCTGCCTTTGGCCTCCTTTCCTTCGTCTTTGATTTCTTTGCGCCCGCTGAAGCATCGGCTAGTCCGCTCGCACTCACGAACGACCATCGACTCAACTGGAGAGCACGTAGTGCGTTGAAGAAGTTTTCTGCGAGGCCGGAGTCTCCTCTTGACAGCTTGCTCTCTCTTGCACTGCCCACTTCTAGTGTTGCATCACCTCCACAACACTAACACGTGCCGGCTAAGGGACTTGGTTTTCTTTACTGTGACACCTTTCTAGGTTCTGGAGTTTTACCGTAGCACTCGGCGGGGGGGGGGGGGGGGGGGGGGGGGGGGGGGGGGGGGGGTTACTAGTATTAGGAGTTCGCTATATGATCAGCAGACGGTCTCGCTACTAGTACTTTGCCTGTCTAAAAGCATTACAAGCTGATGCAGATTATGCCAAGGGGAGTGCAAAATCCGAGTTTGTTGTTAAGGAAAAGATTGAATTGAAAGGTACCTGTTCATAAGTCCGAATAGAGCTCACTCATAAGCACATGTTTTTGGCGTGAGTCGACAGGCATCTGCGCGATAGGCGGAGCTCCACTGTTCCCCCCCCAGCACATCAATCATTTTGTGCCTCTGCGAACCGGAAACACCTGACCTGACCTGGAACCACAGTGCACGCATGTTGGCGTTCGTGTGGACCGCAGAATATTTTGCGAGTTGGTCCTGCCCTGCTGTCAGCTTCTGTCGAGCCCGAAGCTGGGCGAAACATGACGATGACCGAGTCTTGTCGCCAATAACGGTAACTCATGTCAGACGAGGTTCGCGAAACGACCTGCGTGATTACCTCGGGTCTTTTGCTCCAATCAGCCTGCAACTTTTCATTCTCCTTCCGCCATTGCCCATCAGTAGAGAAAAGAGATCACCACAGAGAGGGATGGAGGAAATCCGCCTGCTGACCTTCATAGCGTAGTCTCCCAGTGGTGTTGTTTTGCCCAGTCTCTCTGCTGTTGCTCTTCTTGTTGCCCATCCCTGGGGGGTCCAGTGTCCTGTTACAACTCCGCACCTTTCGGTAGAGATTCCCAGGTCACGGACTTGGAGGTCGATTCGATAGCAGTGCTTCGGTAGCAGTCTCGGATCTTCATTGCCCCGCGGCTACTAGCGGTGTCATGAGCTCGTTACTGCGAATTCGCAGCCTCGTCAGGCTAGGTGCATGGTAACATCGTAGACACCTTTGCTCGCGGACTTCTTCCCCACTCACACATCCGTTGTAGGCTCGCTTGCTCTCAGCCGCCCTCTAAGTCTAAGCCGTTCGTCATGACGGTTGCGTGGCGCCTCGCTGTTACAGCGCGTTGCGTCGTGACATGGCGTCCTGTTTCCTCGCTGCTGCGCCCGCGTTCTCCGACTTTCTTGGTCGCGTGCCTGCTACTCTGCGCCCTCACGGCACCCTTCGCCTCCTCGCCTGCTTCCGCGACCGGAACTCCTTCGCCTGATGGTAACCGCATAACGCTAACTTCATCGCGGTAATCGCCTGATGTTCACCGCCGTCTCGTATTTATGACCCCCATCGTCCATCTGTTAACACTGGGCCGGGGGTAACATGGTTATTTAGTATGAAGCCAATGTCCGCTACGTCAACCTCGTGCTGTCACCGTCGTTCCTCCTCCTCTTCCTCCTCTTCCTCCTCTTCCTCCTCTTCCTCGTCTCTCCTCGTCTCTCCTCGTCTCTCCTCGTCTCTCCTCGTCTCTTCCCCGTCTCTCCTCGGCTCTCCTCGGCTCTCCTCGTCTTTCCCCTCACCCGTTCCGGGCAACATTGTCGTCACCCCGTTCGCTCCCCGCACTTGAACCTCTTTTCTCTCGCCTTTCTTCCCCTCCCCCCCCCGCCTCCATCAGCGGACGTTCTTCTCCGCGTGCGCGCGACGCTTCAGCTGTCGCAGGAGCTCGCACTGCCGTCGTGGTCCGATGCGACGAGTCCGTGCGACGGCGGCTGGGAGGCGGACGTGAGATGCGATCCCGACACCAACCAGGTCATCCATCTGTACGTAGCGCCCCCCCCCCCCCCCCCCCCCCCCCCCCCCCCCCCCACTGCTACTACTGGCGTGAATCGTCTGAAGGACTTTTTTGAGTCGACTCAAAATCACTCACGGACGTCAGATGCGATCCCGATACCAACCAGGTCGTTAATCTGTGAGTAGTGGTCCCCTACTACGCAGGATGCTCCATCGGGATCGATCCCGGTGCTGAGGTCTGTGAGTAGTGGTCCAGACGATCTGCTACTGGCGTGAATCGTCTGGAGCGTCCTGAGACGTCAGGTACCAGCTTCGGGCCATCCTGAGGATGTCCCACTAGGCGCTTCCTCACATGCCAATACCTCTTTTCCCCCTCCTAACTTTCCCACCCATGACCTTCTCTCTCTGGCTTCCTCCTACATCTCCAGCGACGCATCCAAGTTGCAGCGGCCGGGTCCCATCCGAGGCGCTTTCGAGCATGTCTCACGAGCCCCTTCATGCCCTCTCCCCCCTCCCTTTCCACCCGTCTCTGTCTCCAGCCACATATCCAACATGCAGCTGTCGGGTCCCATCTCACGTCTCACAAACCGTCTCATACCCCCTCCTCCCCCCTCCTCCCCCTCCTCCCCCCTCCTCCCCCCAACCCGCCTCTGTCCGCAGCGACGTGTCCAACTTGCAGCTGTCGGGTCCCATCCCGGGCGCAGAGCTCGCCCAGCTCGCCTACCTCACGTACCTGTGAGTGCTCGTTGGTAGGAGAGCCAGCAGCGCTGGGCTCAGAGGTGACTTTTGAGTCGACCCAGAAGTCCCCTCCTACCTCACGTACCTGTGAGTGCTCGTTGGTAGGAGAGCCAGCAGAATGTGTTTTGTTTTTGAGAATTCTCACAAACAAAGCACGTTTGAGCTCGCCCGGCTCGCCTACCTCACGTACCTGTGAGTGCTCGTTGGTAGGAGAGCCAGCAGCGCTGGGCTCAGAGGTGACTTTTGAGTCGACCCAGAAGTCCCCTCCTACCTCACGTACCTGTGAGTGCTCGTTGGTAGGAGAGCCAGCAGAATGTGTTTTGTTTTTGAGAATTCTCACAAACAAAGCACGTTTGAGCTCGCCCGGCTCGAGTAGCTCACGTGCCTGTGAGTGCTGGTTGGTAAGAGAGCCAGCAGCGCTGGGCACAGGGAGGTAGGAGATGTGCGGCCTGAGACGAGCCGAACACACGCACGACGAGTCGTGAGCATCTGTTGCACGCTGGAGAATGAGTAGTTGTAAAAAATAACTATGCTTGCTGCATGCACACTAGAGAATGAGTGTCTGTAAGTAGCTATGCACGCAGGAGTGATGTGTGAGTGTTGGGCGCAAGAGAACGAGGCTCGCACGAGGCTCATCTTCAGTTGCCATAAGGGGGGTGCACTAGGGATGGGTGGGTGGGTGGGAGGAGGGGGGGGCAGTCTGAATCTGACGCGCGATTATGAACCTTCAGGGCTGCTCATTGTGTGTGTGGCACATGATGAACATGGCTCAGTCAGGTGCGCGGGTGAATGATCAAGTGCTCTTTACCAGGCTCCATCTCTCCCCTCTTCAATCTCTCCCCCCCTCTCCCCTTCTCTCTCTCTCAGGGCGCTGGACGGCAACAGGTTTTCAGGCTCGCTGCCTGCAGACCTTTCCAGGCTATCAGCGCTTAAGCACCTGTAAGCTTGCTAGCGCCTGTAAGCTCCACACTCCGGCTCTTCCCGTCGCACCTTGGGGTGTCATGAGTTGCTTTGAGCTTTTGGCCCTCGTTGCATGCCTCGCATCAACGGCGCCTCTTGCTTCTCCAACGTGAATCTCTACGCACTCAACCATCGTCTCGCCTCGCTCACTCGTGCGTCTTTTGTCCCTCCCCCCCCAGATCGATGGAAGGCAATGCAGTGGAGGGGCCCATACCCGACGACGTGCTGCACTCTCTCACTGCCCTCACCCTGCTGTGAGTCCGCACTCTGCTGTGAGTCCGCACTCTGCTGTGAGTCCGCACTCTGCTGTGAGTCCGCACTCTGCTGTGAGTCCGCACTCTGCTGTGAGTCCGCACTCTGCTGTGAGTCCGCACTCTGCTGTGAGTCCTCACTCTGCTGTGAGTCCGCACTCTGCTGTGAGTCCGCACTCTGCTGTGAGTCCGCACTCTGCTGTGAGTCCGCACTCTGCTTTGAGTCCGCACTCTGCTGTGAGTCCGCACTCTGCTGTGAGTCCGCACTCTGCTGTGAGTCCGCACTCTGCTGTGAGTCCGCACTCTGCTGTGAGTCCGCACTCTGCTGTGAGTCCGCACTCTGCTGTGAGTCCGCACTCTGCTGTGAGTCCGCACTCTGCTGTGAGTCCGCACTCTGCTGTGAGTCCTCACTCTGCTGTGAGTCCTCACTCTGCTGTGAGTCCTCACTCTGCTGTGAGTCCTCACTCTGCTGTGAGTCCTCACTCTGCTGTGAGTCCTCACTCTGCTGTGAGTCCTCACTCTGCTGTGAGTCCTCACTCTGCTGTGAGTCCTCACTCTGCTGTGGGTCCGCACTCTGCTGTGGGTCCTCACCTCACGCACTCCGCCGTGCATCATGACCCCATACCCCCGTTTCTCTGTGCTCCCATGCTCCCATGCCCCCATGCCCCCATGCCCCCATGCCCCCATGGCCCTGGGCATGAGGGCCAGCTCCCATGCCCAAGGCCCTTGTCCGTCTTCCCTACTTGCCTAGCCTCATTCCGCCCAAGCCACCCGCCCAAGCCACCCGCCCAAGCCACCCGCTCTTTGGATGTGTCCGCGCGCCCCTGTTCCCCCAGCAACCTCAAGATGAACAACTTCTCGGGCCAGCTGCCAGAGTCAGTGGGGACACTCACCAATCTGGTTGCACTGTGAGTCGCATATGCCATGCCATAGCCCATGCCATAGCCCATGCCATAGCCCATGCCATAGCCCATGCCATAGCCCATGCCATTACCCATGCCATTACCCATGCCATTACCCATGCCATTACCCATGCCATTACCCATGCCATTACCCATGCCATCGCCCCTGCCATCGCCCATGCCATCGCCCATGCCATCGCCCATGCCATCGCCCATGCCATCGCCCATGCCATCGCCCATGCCATCGCCCATGCCATCGCCCATGCCATCGGCCATACCATCGCCCGCGCGATAGCCTGTGCCATAGCCCGTGTCCTAGTTCCTGTGCACATCCCATAGCCACGCCAACATCCACCCATGCGATTGGCTTGTCCACATGTGCGGCCAGGCATCATGCCCTTGACGCGTTTAGACTCGCCAACACCACAAGCCATACACGTGCTGTTCTCTGCTGTGCTATAGAGCATTGCCCTCAACCCTTCCTCCCCCTCTGCTCGTCCACGCGCCCTCAGCAACCTGGGAGCCAATCAGCTCGCAGGCGAGATCCCAGCAAGCTACTCCGCCCTGTCGCAGATGGTCTACTTGTAAGTCTGTGATGGTGCGCCACCCTTTTGAGTCGACTCAAAAGTCACCTCTACTTGTAAGTCTGTGATGGTGCGCCACCCCCCGCTGCTGCCCCCTTGCGTATGCCCCCCACTCTCTGCCCCCCTTCCCTCATTGCTTCGCTCACATCTCCATCCCCATCGTCTATGCTCAAGTCTTTACCCCCGCCGTTTCTCCCCTCATCCATCGCCCCTCGCCACGCGTCTCCCAGCAAGGCGTCTCGCAACAAGCTGGACGGGTCCATTCCTGACTGGCTCGCCTCCTGGCCTCGACTCATGGACCTGTCAGTACCCCCTTGCCTCCTTGCCCCCTCGCCTCTCTGCACTCTCCCACTCTCTTCAATCTTCCCACTCTTGCTGATCTTCCCACTCTCCCCACTCTCCCTCGCCCGCTCACTGCCTTCCCCACTGCTTGCCTCCTGGCTGCGACTCATGGATCTGTCAGAGCCCTCTCTCCCCTCCCCCCGTCACCCCTTCTTCCCGTTCCCCCCTTTTTCCCCCGTCTCCCCTCCCCCACCCCCACCCCCACCCCCACCCCCAGCGAGCTCTTCAAGAACGGCTTCACAGGCTCCATCCCCGGTTCCCTTGGCAACGTGCAGTCGCTGGTCGCCCTGTGAGTCGCTGGTCGCCCTGTGAGTCGCTGGTCGCCCTGTGAGTCCTGCTCAACTCGCACACTTCAACTTTCTACTGCCACCACTCGCACCCATTCGCATCGCACAGCCGCCCTTGCTCACACGCTCCTCGCGCCGCAAAGAAGTGCGTTGGTAAGATTGCTCCCCCCGCTCATTCGTTTCACTCAATGCTCCCACCAAAGGACTTACCAATCTTTGCGCCCCCTACCCCCCCCTACCCCACCCCTCCCCCCCCCCCCCAACACGTCCTTCAGCTCGTTGGACGAAAATGCCCTGTCGGGCTCACTGCCTGAGTCCCTGGGATCGCTGCCGCGCCTCGAAGCACTGTGAGTTCACACGCTAGAGTTCACACGCGCTGTGCATTCACGTTCACACAGCACTGGTGGCCTCTCACCCCCGACCCCTTGACCCCTGGTGGGCCCGGGCCAGGGGCCAAGTCAGGGGGTGACAGGGTGCTCTGCGACTTGTAAGTCGACTCGAAACCCACCTGCCAAAGGACGCATGGGTGGGTCCAGGCCAGGGGTCGGGTCAGGGGGTGACAGGGTCGTCTGTCGCATGCTCCTATCCTGTGCTAGTAGGATGATGCCTCGTGAAGCCTGGTGCTGAGTCCTGACATGGTTCTTTCCAATGTGACTTTCCTCATTGCGTGGCTTTGTACCACCCTCTCATCCCCCGCCCTTCTCTCTACTTCTATACCGCCTGGCGCCTCCTTCTCCCCCCGAACACCACCCCATGGCCTCTCTGCCTGCTGCAGCTATGTGGTTTCCAACAACCTTGAAGGGCCCATTCCGGATTCGTTCAGAGGCATGCAGAGCCTCAAGTATATGTGAGTCCAAGTACATGTGAGTCCAAGTGCATGTGATTCCAAGTGCATATGAGTCCAAGTACATGTGAGTCCAAGTACATGTGAGTCGAGGTGCATGTGAGTCGAGGTGCATGTGAGTCGAGGTGCATGTGAGTCGAGGTGCATGTGAGTCGAGGTGCATGTGAGTCGAGGTGCATGTGAGTCGAGGTGCATGTGAGTCGAGGTGCATGTGAGTCGAGGTGCATGTGAGTCGAGGTGCATGTGAGGCCATGCATCTATGCTGCATCTACTCAAGCACCTTCGTCATTTCTGCTCTCGCCTCAAGTCAAGCCATCCATTCCCCAGTCCCCCCCACACCATCCCCGTGTATAGGACGGCCATCCTCAACATCCCTCCCTGGCGTCCCCATGCCAATCCCCACCCCGTCCCCTGCACTCACCCCACCCCTTCAACCCCCCCCCCTCCCCTTCACCCCTCCCATTTCAACCCCCCCTTCACGCCCCCCCATTCACCCTCCCCCCCCATTCACCCCCCCCATTCACCCCCCCCATTCACCCTCCCCATTCAACCCCCCCCATTCATCCCCCCATTCACCCCCCATTCAACCCCCCCATTCACCCCCCCATTCACCCCCCATTCACCCCCCCCCATTCACCCCCCCTTCCAACCCCCCCATTCACCCGCCCATTCACCCGCCCCATTCACCCGCCCATTCACCCCCCCATTCACTCCCCCTTGCACCTTCACCCCGCAGTGACCTGAGCTTCAACCTGCAGCTCTCAGGCCCGCTCCCCGACTTCCTCGGCTCCATGCCCGCACTCGAGTCCGTGTGAGTTCCTTACCACCCCTCCCTCCACGCACCCTGCTTGCTCTGCTCATCCATCCTCTCTCACAACCCTCTCCCTGCCCTTGAGCCCTGTGGCTTCTCCAGCCTCATCCCTTCCTCCCTCGCCTCACACCCCCCCTCCCCCCCTCTTGTGCGTTCCACCCTCCCTCGTCCACCCCCTGCCCAGTGCCTTTGAGTCGTGCGGCTTCTCTGGCCCCATTCCGCCGTCCCTGGCGTCGCTCCCCCATCTGAAGGAGCTCTTCCTCGACCACAACTCGCTGCAGGGCGCCCTGCCCCCCTCTCTAGCATCCCTCTCAGCGCTCACGGCGCTCTACCTCAACAGCAACCAGCTCTCGGGGGAGATTCCCGAGGACCTGTGCGGGCTGCAGTCGCTGGGGGTGCTCATGCTGGGGCATAACGACCTGGAGGGGAGCATTCCTGCGTGCCTGCTGGCCCTACCCAGCATCACGTCTCTGTAGGTTCTGACAACTCACTGCTCGCTTTAGTCGACTCAACGGTCGCTGGGGGTGCTGATGCTGGGCCATTCGCACCCCTTTGACCCCTCTACACCCATCCTCACCCCTTTGACCCCCATCCTCACCCCTTTGACCTCTCTGCATCCATCCTCACCTCTTTGACCCCTTTGAACCCATCCTCACCCCTTTGACCCCTCTGCACCTATCCTCACCCCTTTGACCCCTCTGCACCTATCCTCGCCCATTTGAACCCTCTGCACCATCCTCACCCCTTTGACCCCTCCCATCCTCACCCCTTTGACCCCTCTGCACCCACCCACGACAGGGACATGTCATCCAGCCGCCTGTCAGGCGCCCGCCCGCCTTTCCCTACTGTTGTGAGACGTCTCGAAACTGAGTTATCACTCACACCTGTGACGCCTCTCCACTGCACCCATCCTCACCCCTTTAAACCCTGTGAATCCACCCACCGCAGGGACGTGTCGTCCAACCGCCTCTCAGGCGCCCTCCCACCCGTCCCTCCTGCCTCCGACATCGACTTCCGAGCCAACGGAAACTGCCTGGAAGGAGCGCCGCAGCAGCTCTCCCCTTGCCCCACAGGATCCCGCTCCTCCTCGACCCCTTCTTCCCCTTCCTCACCTTCCTCCACCCCTTCAACCGGCTCTGAAGGCAGTAGCAGCAGCGGCGGCAGCACTGGTGGCAGCACGGGCGCTGGCAGTACGGGCACTGGGGGCAGTGGTACTACTTTGGACAGCATTTGGAATGCGCCCCCTTCCTTGGAGGAGGGCGCATGGCCTGGCCGTGGCAGCAGCAGCAGTGGCGGCAGCACCAGCAGCACCAGCAGCAGCAGCAGTGGCAGCAGCAGCAGCAGCAGCAGTGGAGCGTCTTGGAGTGACATTTGGAGCTCGTCCCCCTCCCTGGAGGAGGGCGCATGGCCCGTGGACCAGCAACTGCAGAGAGACGACCAGAGGAATGGTGGAGCAGGGGCAGGGGCAGGGAAAGGGGAGCAGCAGGGATTACCGGCGCAGCAACAACAGTCACTGCCAGCGTCACCCGTGCAGCGGCAAGAGCCTCCGCCAGTTGAACCGCCACCAGTTCAGCCTCCCCCTGCCCAGCCTCCCCCAGTGGAGGCTGCCCCCCAGGCGACATACTACGGTGGTAAGAAAGGGAAGGGGGAATGAGGGATCTAGAGAAGTTTTTCTACCTCTCTGCCTCCTCATCTCCCCCACCGTTATTCCACATACTCCCTCCTCACTATTATCCCATCCCTTGCCTTCCTCCCCTTCCCCATCTCGCTTCCCCATCCTCCCCTCTCCCATCCCCCCCCCCCCTTCTCCTCTCTCCCCCCCAATCTCCCCTTGCAGTGTCAGCAATGGCTGCTGCCGATCAAGGCAGCAGCACGGACAGCGCCAACCCCTCTGCATCGTCAGGGGGGTGGTCGTGGCTGCAGTTCCTGCTGCTGGCGCTGGGCGTGGCGTCTGCCATCGCCATCGCTGCTGCGTGCTTTGGATACATCACCCAGCGCCGACCCCCCTCCTCCTCCTCCACGTCCTTCGCTGCTGTTGCCCCACCTCTCAACCTGCCTCCTCCACGCGTTGAAGAGCGTAAGGAACCGTAGCAGTGGCGCCCCCCCCCACACACACACACAACCACATAGCTTCCAACCACACACCGCATGGCAATTCCCCTCTTCCTCTGTGTTTCCAACTGTCAAAGATCTTTTACATCCCAGCGATTATGTATGCCATCCATATCAGAATCCATATTTTTAAGCGCCTCAAAATTAGACTGCTGTGCTATTACTGCTCTTACCCAATACTGCCTCCACACCCCCCCACTCTCTCCCTCCCCCCACCCCTGCCCCTGGCGCTTCCCCCCCTTTCTCCCCCTGGCCATCTAGTATGGCGCCTCATGCTCCCTCCTTCCCCTCATGCTCCCTCCTTCCCCTCATACTCCCTCCTTCCCTCTCGTCCCCGTTGCCAATCGCCCAGTCCCAGTGACAGAGTACGGGCTGTCGAAAATCAAGCGCGCCACCAAGAACCTGACGACGCTGTACGGCAAGGGCAGCTTCGGCGCCGTGTACCTCGCAGAGCACTTCCTGCCGGACCATGCCAACCCGCACGTCATCATCAAGAGGGCGCACGACCCCGAGAGTGAGTCGGGAGGGTGATGGGTTGCGGTTTCGAGGTTGGGGTTCGGGGTTTGGGGTTTGGGGTTTGGGGTTTGGGGTTCATTAAAGGGAATGGGTTTTTGCCGCTGTTGCTATGCCCTCCTGCCGGACCACACCGACCCGTCCGTCTCTCCAATCCGCCCTCCACTGCCCTCCAGAGATGACGGAGCAGCAGTTTTGGGAGGAGGTGGACGAGCTGGCTCAAGCGCGGCATGTGCTGCAGTCCACTCACGCTTCCTCCCCCCCTCCCTCCCCCCCTCGTCCCCCTCTCCCCTTCCCCCTTCAACCAGAGATGACAGAGACGAACTGCAGTTCAGGGAGAAGGTGGAGGAGCTGGCGCGGGCGCGCGTGCTACCTGAGCGACTCACCATGCACGCTCCACCGACCCCGCTACCACCCTCCCCCTCTGCCCCTTCCCCCTTCAACCAGAGATGACGGAGCAGCTGTTTAACGAGGAGGTGGACGAGCTGGCTGGGTCGCGGCATGTGCTGCAGTCCACTCACACTTCCTCCCCCCCTCCCCCCCCTCTCCTGCTCCCCCCTTCAACCAGAGATGACGGAGCAGCAGTTTAAGGAGAAGGTGGACGAGCTGGCGCGGCCGCGGCACAGGTGTCTGGTGGCACTGGTGGGGTACTGCATGGGCAAGACGGAGCGCATGCTCGTCTTCGAGTACATGCCCTACGGCACGCTCTTTGACCGCCTGCACCGTGAGTCTGCTAGGGTTGTACAGAGTCTGGTTGAGCCTGTTCTGGCACTGTGGTGCTTTTGACCAGATGCCCTTCGACTGCCTGCACTGTGAGTGGGTCGAGTGAGGTCACAAGGCCACAGCACCGGTGCCTGGTGGCGCTGGTGCAAGACGGAGCGCATGCTGGTGTTTGAGTACATGCCTTGCGTCACGCTCTTGGACCACCTGCACTGTGAGTCTGTGAAATTGTATGACCCAGCGCACACTGTTAGGCCCTTCTTGGGCCCTTGTGTCTTCGAGTACATGCCCTGCAGCACACTCGTGGACCGCCAGCACCGTGAGTCCACCGACTCTGGGAGGGTCTAAGGTCTAGGGTCTAGGGTCTAGGGTCTCGCCCTAAACCCTGTTGAGCCGGCTGAGTCTACTGTGCCTTCGAGCACATGCCCTACAGTGCGCTCTTGACTCAAAAGTCAACTCAAAAGTCACTCAAAAGTCACTCAAAAGTCACTCAAAAGTCACTCAAAAGTCACTCAAAAGTCACTCAAAAGTCACTCAAAAGTCACTCAAAAGTCACTCAAAAGTCACTCAAAAGTCACTCAATAGTCACTCAAAAGTCACCTTGTGTCTTCGAGCATGTGCCCTACGGTGCACTCTTAGACCGTCTGCACCGTGTGTGTCGAGTTGTGTGAGCCTGTTTTTGAGTCGAGACTCAAAAGCTGAGTTGTATGAGCATGTTGATCCTGTTGGGTGTGTTGAATGTGTTGAGTTGTGTGAGTCTCTCGAGTCCTGTATGAATCGTTTGAGTCACTGCAGGGTGCTGTGCTCTTTGCATGTCTCCCCTCCTCCCTTTCATTTCGTAAGATCCAATATGGATCCACGCTGCCCCTCCCAAAGCCCTGGAATCCAATGCAGGTCCAATGCAGGTCCAATGCAGGTCCAATGCAGGTCCCATACCTTGTATCACGTGCCTTGACATGCGCAGCCTTCACGAGAACTAAGATGTGAATCCTACCTCCCCCTTCCCCCCCCCACCCCCAACACCCGCCCCGTGCTACAGGATCCAATCTGGACCCCATGCCATGGGATGCGCGTGTGCGCGTGGCGGTCAACGTTGCCTCTGCCCTGGCGTACCTGCACCACGGGATCGATCCACCCCTCACCCACCGAGCCGTCACCTCTTCCAATGTGCTGCTGGGCGCTGACATGACCGCCAAGGTGCGCTCTTACCTCACATGATGCCACCAGTCAGTATTGCTGTCTTCCTCCATGGCCACCAGTCAACATCATCTCGTGCGGCTTGCCCTGCCCCCCACCACGCACCCACCTCGCACCCACCTCGCACCCACCACGCACCCACCTCGCACCCACCGCGCACCCACCTCGCACCCACCTCGCACCCACCTCGCACCCACCGCGCACCCACCTCGCACCCACCTCGCACCCACCACGCACCCACCTCGAACCCACCTCGCACCCACCTCGCACCCACCACGCACCCACCTCGCACCCACCTCGCACCCACCTCGCACCCACCACGCACCCACCTCGCACCCACCGCGCACCCACCTCGCACCCACCTCGCACCCACCACGCACCCACCTCGCACCCACCGCACACCCACCTCGCACCCACCTCGCACCCACCACGCACCCACCTCGGACCCACCACGCACCCACCTCGCACCCACCTCGCACCCACCACGCACCCACCTCGCACCCACCGCGCACCCACCTCGCACCCACCTCGCACCCACCTCGCACCCACCTCGCACCCACCGCGCACCCACCTCGCACCCACCTCGCACCCACCGCGCACCCACCGCGCACCCACCGTGCACCCACCTCGCACCCACCGCGCACCCACCTCGCACCCACCGCGCACCCACCTCGCACCCGCCTCGCACCCACCTCGCACCTACCGCGCACCCACCTCGCCGCCACTTCGTCCAACGTGCTGCTGGGCGCTGACTTGACCGCCAAGGTGCGCCTAGCCTCGACTCAAAGGTGATCCTCCTCTTCTCCTCTCTTGCTCTCCTCTCCTCCTCTCCTCCTCTACTCCTCTCCTCTTCTCCTCCTCTCTTCCTCTCCTCCTCTCCTCCTCTCTTCCTCTCCTCCTCTCTTCCTCTCCTCCTCTCCTCCTCTCTTCCTCTCTTCCTCTCTCCCTCTCTTCCTCTCCTCCTCCCCTCTCTTCCTCTCCTCTTCTCTTCCTCTCCTCTTCTCTCCCTCTCTCCTCTCTTCCTCTCCTCCTCTCCTCCTCTCATCCTCTCCTCTCTTCTCTTCCCTTCTGTTCTCCTCTCCTCTCCTTCTCTCTTCCCGCAGCTCTTAAACTGTGGTCCGGCCCATGGCTGCGCCTCCGAGGCACCGCAGCTCGCGCAGCCGTGGCAGGAGCATGGATTACACGCCCTCCCGTTGCCCCCCGCCCTTTCCCCTACACACCAGCTTTCTGACTGCGCTCTAGCTTGAGGCTGTGCCTCCCAGACAGCAGACGACCTTGCGAGGAGGCACAGGGCACAGCCGCAGCACAAGCATTAACCACACATGCCCCCCTGCCTTGCTCCCCGCTCCACCCCCCCCCCCCCACTCCAGCTCTCATACTACGGTCTGGCGCGTGGCAGTGCTTCCCAGGCGGCGGACGACCTCGCAAGGAGGCGCAGGGCGCACCGCAGCTCACACAGCCGCAGGACGAGCACCGATCGCAGACACCCCCCCTACCTCCCTCCCCGTCTCCCACACATCAGCTCTCTGACTATGGCCTGGCCCGTGGCTCTGCCTCCCAGGCAGCGGACGACTTGGCCCGGCGCCGCAGGGCGCACCGCAGCTCGCGCAGCCGCGGCACGAGCATCGGCAGCATGGGGCAGCTGGAAGGAATGCGAGGGGGGGGCAGCAGTGACTCTTTCGGTAGCAGCGTGGGAGCCCCGTCGTTTGGGAGTGGGAGGAGGGGGGACGGGGGTAGTGGGCGGGAGCTGCAGCCAGTGCTGTCACGGGAAAGCACGCCGGAACTCTCGAGGGAAAACACTCCTGACTTAGTGAGGGAAAGCGCACCGACTTTGTCACGGGAGGACACTCCGGAACTGTCGAGGGAAAATACGCCGGAATTTTCTAGGGAAAACACCCCGGTTTATTCGAGGGAGAACACGCCGATTCTGAGTCGGGAGAACACGCTTTCTGCTCTGGACGAGCGCAAGGCGGACGTGTATGGGTTCGGAGTGGTGCTGCTGGAGCTGATCACGGGGCAGAAGGCTATGCAGGACGTGCACATCACCAACCTGGTAGGGCGTGGTGAAGGGTGGTGGAACGTGGTTGAGTGAGGTGGAGTGTGGTGTGTGTGTGCACTGGGTGGTGTGCTATGGGGGGTGTGTGGGAGGTGTATGGGTTCGCAGTGGTGCGGCTGATAGCAGGGCAGAAGGGTGGTGGCCGCGCAGGGTGTGTGTGCACTGGGTGGTGGCCACGCATGGTGTGTGTGCACTGGGTGGTGGCCACGCATGTTGTGTGTGCACTGGGTGGGGGCCACGCATGTTGTGTGTGCACTGCGTGGTGGCCACGCATGGTGTGTGTGCAATGGGTGGTGGCCATGCATATCACATAGGCACACCACCCTCTCATAGGCACACTACCCTCTCATAGGCTGCGTTGCCAACAGCATAAAAAGAAAATAACTGTTCTCCCTTCCCTCGTCTCCCCCCATCCCTCTCTTTCTCCACTCCGAGCTTCCCACTGATCACCCCTCTTGCACCTCTCTCATTCACACCCCTCTTGCACCTCTCTCATTCGCACCCCTCTTGCACCTCTCTCATTCGCACCCCTCTTGCACCTCTCTCATTCACACCCTCCCCCTTCTCTCTCCCCCGTGCAGGCAGCGCCCTTTCTGGAGGACGACCAGATGATGCCGCTCATGGCGGATAGTGCACTTGCAGGTATGCCTCCCACCCATGCCTCCCATGCCTCCCATGCCTCCCATGCCTCCCATGCCTCCCATGCCTCCCATGCCTCGTATGCCTCCCAGGCTCCCATACCTCCCATGCCTCCCATGCCTCCCATGCCTCCTATGCCTCCCAGGCTCCCATGCCTCCCATGCCTCCCATGCCTCCCATGCCTCCCATGCCTCGTATGCCTCCCAGGCTCCCATACCTCCCATGCCTCCCATGCCTCCCATGCCTCCTATGCCTCCCAGGCTCCCATGCCTCCCATGCCTCCCATGCCTCCCATGCCTCCCATGCTTCCCATGCCTCCCATCCCTCCCATGCCTCCCAGGCTCCCACGCCTCCCATGCCTCCCATGCCTCCCATGCCTCCCATGCCTCCCATGCCTCCCATGCCTCCCATGCTCACATCACTTCCATCGCACCGCCTTCGGCACTTGGTCTTATTCACACAGGCCTTGAGTCACGCAATCACGCGGCCTTTAATCACATGGCCTCAACCCCCTTCGCCCCAGCAGGCTGCTTCAACCAGGACGAGCTGGTCGCTCTGGCCACCATTGCCTGGGGACTGTGTGCAACAGGCACCCTCCCAGCGCCCCGCCATGCTGGACGTGCTGCGCGCACCAAATCACCCAACCTCTCACCACATGTCCTTGCACCCCGTGCCCCCTACACCAGGCTACTTCAACCAGGACGAGCTGGTGGCGCTAGCCACCATCGCGCGGGACTGCGTGCACCAGGCGCCCTCGCAACGCCCCTCCATGCTGGACGTGCTGCGGGCGCTGGAGGATGCCGTCGACGAGGACCTCTTCGACCCCCTCCAGGGCCCCACCTCGCGCCTCCTCTCGCCCTCCTCCACCGCGAGTGGGGCCACCGGGGACCGGTACACTGCCTTGGCTAATGACGGTGCTTTTGATGATGCTGGGGGGGTTGGGGGTGTTGGTGGAATGGGGGGAGGGGGAGGGGGAGGAGGAGGAGGAGGAGCGTGGAAAGCAAGTGCCGGGTCGTCAATTATGGATGTTATTTCAGCGTCGTTCCGGAGGCGAGGGGGCGGGGAGAAGGGTGCGGGGAGGCGGGGGGATGGGGCGCAGAGGGGGCCAGGGCAGGGGCCCCCGTCGCCGAATCGGTCAGGGAGGAGCGATGGAATGGATGTGGAGAGCTCTTCACTCCTGTACATCACACCCAAGGGGCACTGAGCCTTTTTTTAGGCGCCTAAAAAACGGGGTGTGGGTGAGGGTGGGGGGGGGGGGGGGGGCAGGGTGTGGCCAAATCGGTCAGGGAGGAGCGATGGGATGGATGTGGAGAGCTCATCTCTGCTATACATCACATCCAAGGGGCACTGAGCTGTTGCCTCCTTCCCACGGCGTGTTACGTTTGTTCTTCCTTCGTGTTCATATTATGGTATATGATGTAACTACATGTTGCATGGGTACTTTCAGAACAATGCATTGAAGAGAAACAAGGGATACAAGGGAATATATGGTTGGGTGTTATACTCTCTAAGAGAATGAACCCTTCTAGCCTATAACTTCTACATTTACAATATATGCAAACGTTGACACCCCTTAAGCTAGACAAGGGGCAGTGCCTAGCGATAGACACGCACGCAGCTCAGCGCGGCACTACTAGTCAGGGCTGATTTTATCAGACTATTTTAGTCTGATTGTCTGAAATTTCAGACCCATTTTTTTGCCAATCCTGATTTTTCAGACTTAGGCTTTTCTGGATACTGAACCCTTCAGACTTGTAAGATTTTGGATCCTGAAGTTTTCAGAGTAGTCGTTGTACGGATACTGAGGTTTCAGAGTACATCGCGTATGGACTCTGAATGCGACATCCATGCACCTTGTACTTTCCACGAGATTTCCTCTACTACGTCATATGTTGCCTTCATCATTTCACCCCCGCACGTCTCACGTGAAGTATCTGCACTTGGCAGGATTCTCGCCCCCTCTGTGACTGTGATGCTGCCTCAACAGGGACTTTGCCGCTCAGCGCGTCATGCTTCCTGCCACGCGTGCGACCTCTACGTGGGTGTGTTGGAAGCCATCAAAGGTTGGTAACGCGGGATTCTTGCCCTCGCTGGCATGTGCAAAACTTTCCGACCGACGGTGATTGGCGACAGTCCATGCCAACACATGGTTCGTTCGTAACGTCAGCTCATGTTTGGCATGGCGGCGCGGGTTTGGAAGGGGCTGCCATCCAGAAGCTGACGACGACAGTTAACCAAGAAACACGCGCCTCGGGCTTGATGGTGCCCTTCTTCTTCGTCCCTCTCATCCCTCCCCCTCCTCTCAGGCGCACTCAGGCTTTTACACGGGGTCTGTAAATCTTACTCGTCAATTCGTGTTTCGTTGTTCTCGTCCTCACGTAGGTTCTCGTTTTTCGACCCCGTCAACAGCCATGACGGGGACTCCTGCAGAAGAAGACGATGAGCCCAGCGCCGATGAACCACCTCGTAGTAACGAGCCTGCAGAGGTTCGTCGCTCCGCGATAGACATACTGCGGTCGTTAGGTTCTCCTCCCGTCATTGCTGTTGTGGTTTCCTCCGCAGCGGAGGAAACCCAGCCTGCTCTAAACCCACCCCCGTCCGCGCCCTTCGTGCCACCACCATATGTCCCTCCGCCTGCCGTCGCCTCATCCAGCAGAGGCCCGACTCTGCCCGTTAACTGCGTCACCGCCACCACTGTCCGCTACAGCGTGCCCTGCGCGTCCACGATTTCGTCTGCGAAGAAACAACGGACGGGCAAGTACACCCAGTCTCAAATCATGATCGGAGGTAGGCTCCGCCGCCCGTCCACGCCGCCATCACCTAGTGCAGTCCCTGCCGTCGTTGAACCGCCACCGCCAAAGCTGAGTAAGAAGGAATTGATAGAGCAGAAATACCTCGTCGCTGAAGCAAAGTACAAAACTTCATGGCTGCCTTTCTTTCCATGGCTAGTGCTGACCAAAACAAAAGACGGCCACCATTCTCTCAAGTGCAGTGTGTGCATGACGTTTGGCAAGGAGACCACCAAGTACAGCTCTTCGGGCGATGGTGGCCGAGACCTGCAGACACAGACCATGCGCATACACGAGCACTCTTCTGCACACAAGGAAGCTGTGGATGCCCAGCTGAAGATTGCCGACGACATCGCCGATGGGCAGAAGAGGATGGACGACTATTTGTCGTCGGATGTCGAGGGGAGGTGGGTCGTGCGACTGCTCCGCGCTGTTGAGTTTCTCTGTAAGGTCGATGCTCCCATCAGCATGTTTCCTCGACTATGTCGCTTTATGGCTGAGCAGGACACCCCAGACCTACCGCTCCAGTCTTACGGTGTTTATCTCACTCGGTAAGTACCGGCGACGACATTCCATTAGTCTTCTCCGTTGGATTTTTTAACAATTACTCTCTCTTCTGCATGCAGGTACGGCTTTCAACAGATGGTCCACTGCTTGGCGACTCTTCTTCAACGGACCCAGATGCAGCACATTCAATCGTCCCCGTTCATCGGCATCAGTTGCGACGAGAGCACTGATCGTACTAGAGGGAAGCACCTGATAGTGTACCTCACGTTCCTGCGCCATCGCCGCGCCGTCACCGAGTTTTTCTCGTTGCTCACCGTCGAGAAGTGCGACGCCGCCTCCCTGCTCTCCGTGCTTCTCACTCATCTTCAAGGCGCCGGCATCGAACTGAACCGCATCGCGGGAATCAGCACCGATGGCGCTTCCGTCATGGTTGGTCGTGAGAACGGTCTCGTGGCGCGGCTCCGCGAGCACATCCCTCACCTTGTGTCGTCCCACTGCATCGCCCACCGGTATAAACTCGTTATGTTATGTTGTCGCTTTTTTCTTTCATTCGTTTACTAATCTCTTTGCATGGACTGTGCGCAGGGAAGCTCTTGCTGTGAAGGACGCCGCGTCTGCCTGTCCAGACTTGGACATGGTCGACAAGGTTATCCGATCTCTGGCCGATCTTCTCGGCCGTTCAAGCGTGTGGAGCCAGCGGTTCAAGTACCTTCAGCGTGTCATCCACAAGACCAACCTTGAAGTTCAAGGAATCCACGCGATTCGGTGGTTGTCCAGGGGCGAGGCAGTCAGACGCCTCTGTAAGGTCCTTGGTGCGGCCATCGTTTTACTGTACGAGTATAACCATGAGCTGTACGAGGTTGTCATCTCATACAAGTTTCAGTTTTGTCTCTTCTTCCTGGCGGACGTCCTCGCCATCATGAACGAGCTCAACCTCAAGTTTCAGAAGCGAGAGGTGAGCCCTTGCATGTGAGCTTGTGGTATGTTCTTTCACAATCAGCACTAACATTCTGCCCCTTGATTTGCGCCCCCATGTTTCCACCACCCCCACCCCCCCCCCCCCCCTGCCCGACCGCAGGTGGATGTTACCGAGATAACACAGGACGTCGACGAGGCGGTGGGGGATCTTCGGCACCGCTACTTGGAGTGCGGCGGGGTTTTCGGTGCGGGCGTAAGCGGCACGTGGCTCTCGGCTTTCTTAACCGTGTACGGGCGAGGGGGGGCGAAGAAAGTGAAGGTGCGCGGCATCGACAAGGACGGGCAGCCGGTGACGCACACGTACCAGATGCACGAGCGGCAGATCAAGGGGCACGTCTACCAGAGCAACTACCGGGACTGCGAACTGTTATGCGCGAAATTCGCGAGGGGGAGCGTGACGAACTTGCTGGAGCGGCTGGACGACCTGTCGAAGCTCGGGCCGACGAAGCTGTTTCGGGCGGGCAAGTGGCCGCGGCATCGGATGGTGAGGGAGAAGAAGACGAGAGAGTATCTCCATGGCTGCAGTGCTATCTTCGACGACAAGCTCCCCGAGTTCGATTTGAAGGAGGCGGAGAAGGAGCTGGCAACTTGGGCCCCGATCATGCAGAACCACCACAACGAGGAGGGCTTCTACCAGGGCCTCACGAATTACCTTGGCAACACGGAGTCAAGCAGGTAAGTCGAGTCTCCAAAGCACGCTGTTGTGTCTGCCTGTGTATGATTGTTTTTGCCAGTTTGATCACGCTAACTGTCTATGTTTGTATCAACTTCTATTGTTCCTTTCCCACCATGCTTGTAGGTTATAATTGATTCTATTGTTCCACGCCTCTTGTGTGTGGTTGTTCCATAAACAGGCGGTGGCCCAACCTCATGCTTCTCTGGCAAGCATGCGCGGTGTTACCACTCTCAACTGTGGAGTGCGAGCGTGGTTTTTCCAGGCAGAACGTGATCAAGTCTTGGGTCCGTGGTGCTCTGTGCAATGCCCGCCTGGGTGAGCTGATGATGATTTCGCTGCTGAGATACGACATCAACTGGCAAGAGGCGCTGGAGCTGTGGCACGCAAAAAGGAGAAGACCAGCGAAGTCGGTGGTGTTCGCATCACAAGAGAGGAAGCGCAAAGGCAAGGCTCTGCTGGAAGAGGCAGAGCAGGAACCTCCAGTGCCAGACTACTTAGGAAAGGATTGGGATGAGGAGGAGGAGGAGGAGGAGGGGGAGAGGGATGGTGGAGGTGCAGTAGCTATAGAAGACAACCCCTTTCTGTCGGATGATGAGGCGGAGGATGTCGTCGCTGTAGATGTGCCAGAGTTCTAGCTAGGCTAGGAAATTAGACTAGGTGTAGGTTAATTGCCCGAATGTAATGAAAAATTGGCGACTAAATGGTAAAATCACGACTCTGATTCATACTTGCGAACCCTGAAGAAATCAGACTTGAAAGTTACTGGATCCTGAGAAATCAGACTACAAGGAAAACTGAAACCTGACTACTCAGACTTGGGAAAAAAAATTGGGCCTAAAATCAGAGTGGGTTTTTTTGAAACGTCAGCCCTGCTACTAGTCCGACCTCTGAGGCAAGGGTCTGAAGTAAGGCTTATCTTTGGTTTTTCACCACTCTGATTTTCACGAGTGACTCCTGGCCAAACTCTGATTTTCTGAGTGCCCTGGAGCTCGAACTCTGATTTGTCAGGATTGTGACACGACTTTCAGAGGAGTGTGCAGTGCAGTCGTCATAGCATTTCATAACTCAATGATACAGCACACTCATAGAAGTACATGGATGTTCTAAAGGACGAAGCTAAACAGGCAGATGCCGACTAGGAAAGTGGGAGAGGGGGGTGGGTGTCAAATGTAACTTAGGTTGTTACTGTAGACTATACTGGATTGTGCCTTAGAGGGTACAACACCCTAGTCTATATATCCTTGTACACACACATTCTAGTTCAATCATTTTTCTTTCTGATATGGTATGGTATCATAGTAGGTTAGATCCCCCCCTAGCCCGCTCACGCTTCCGCCCCTACATTCCTAGCCGGCCCCCTGGCCGTCGCGCTCGTCCCTAGCCGGCCCCCCTGACCGTTCGCGCCCGTCCCTAGCCGGCCCCCTGGCCGTTCGCGCTCGTCCCTAGCCGCCCCCCTGGTCGTTCGCGCTTGCCCTAGCCGGCCCCTGGCCGTCGCGCTCGTCCCTAGCCGGCCCCCTGGCCGTCGCGCCCGTCTCTAGCTGGCTCCCTGGCCGTCGCGCCCGCTCCTAGCCGGCCCCCTGACCGTCGCGATCGCTCCTAGCCGGCCCCCTGACCGTCGCGCCCGTCCCTAGCCGACCCCTGACCGTTCGCGCCCGCCCCTAGCTGGC